ACAAACAAAACCACGTTTCTCAGCTGACCCCCAAAGCGATACCAACGTATGCAAAGTGTCAACACATACCAGACCCAAAACCTTGTTCCATTTCTTATGTTTGTGTTCAGGTTGGATGTTCAGCAGAAATACTCGCAGTCCTGTTGTCACGTTTCACTAATGTGACCTTTCTTATTCCTTTGTTGATGCTGTCACTTTAATTTTGGAACAAATCTTTTGTTGCTAGACGGGGCGATTCTAAGATCTGACCACTATGGCTGAGGAACAGCTTCTACCCTGAAACTGTTAGACTCACGAGTCTCTAACCAGGATAATAACTGTGGGAAAAATCACTGTAATGCCACTTGGTTATGTGCTGCTGACTATCCATGATGCTGATCACATGCTGCTGATTTATTTCATGTTGCTGTGTTCATTCATACTCATCTGCTCCCACAGACTCATGTTCGTGCTGCTGTTGTTTGGCGCATTGTTTTGTACAATTAGTGCTTAGTGTATTCTTAGTTTAGCACAGGGGTGCCCAAACTTTTTCCCTGAAGTCCAAAATTAAAATCTATCAGAGGGCCGCGGCCAAATGCGATAATGTAATGTATGAAATGCAATTTTTTTTTTTAAGTACAGTAATTTTTATTTTAATACAGTTATTTAACCTTCCATTCTGTATAAAGAACTTTACAGAACACAAAATATAACAAATAAGGAAATTAAAACAAATGTATACATTTTGGCATTTCAATATATAAATGTACAGGTGCTGGTCATAAAATTAGAATATTATGAAAAAGTTTATCTCATTAATTCCATTCAAAAAGTGAAACTTTGTATATTATATTCATTCATTACACACATATTGATATATTTCGAATGTTTATTTCTTTTAATGTTGATGATTATAACTGACAACTAATGAAAACCCCAAATTCAGTATCTCAAAAAAATAGAATATGAAGACCAATAAAAAAAGGATTTTTAGAAATGTTGGCCAACTGAAAAGTATGAACATGAAAAGTTTGAGCATGCACAGCATAAATACTTAGTTGTTGCTCCTTTTGCCTGGATTACTGCAACAATGTGGCATGGAGTCTTATCAGTCTGTGGCACTGCTCAGGTGTTATGAGAGCCCAGGTTGCTCTGATAGTGGCCTTCAGCTCTTCTGAACTGTTGGGTCTGGAGTATCACATCTTCCTCTTCACAATACTCCATAGATTTTCTATGGGGTTAAGGTCGGGCGAGTTTGCTGACCAGTTAAGAACAGGGATACCATGGTCCTTAAACCAGGTACTGGTAGCTTTGGCACTGTGTCCAGGTGCCAAGTCCTGTTGGAAAATTAAATTTACATCTCCATAAAGTTGGTCAGCAGCAGGAAGCATGAAGCGTTCTAAAACTTCCAACTGCGTTGACCTTGGACCTCAGAAAACACAGTGGACCAACACCAGTGGTTATGATTCATTCCAATGGTGGAATAAAAATGCAGTGCCTTGGCTTATGAGATTTCAATATAGTAATGAGGACAGTTCCTGGCGGGCCAAATCAAATGGCTTCGTGGGCCAACTTTGGCCTGCGGGCTCCACTTTGGACACCCCTGGTTTAGCATATTTCTTAGTTCATGTCTTTGATCTTACTACTGTTTTTCTTTACAATTTGTATTTTTGTTGGATGTAACTGGGACCCTGTGTACATAGTTTCGTACATCGTTTCCACATGTGGTGCATATGACAAAGAACCTTGAATTCTTGAATATATCTACAAAAAAAGCACAACTAACTTTAACCTTTAATTTAACCATTAACCCACGACTGCGAAGTGTTTGTAATGCAAAACCCCGACAATGCTGTCGGAGGGAAACCCTGCTCCTGCAGCTAAGGGGCATTTAACTTTGGGACAAATTAAGGTTGCTAACTGGTAGTTGCTGACGAACGTACTGGACTGATTGACAGGTAGCATTGAGGATCTGACTCGTGCCAAAAAAAAAAAATTACTGGCACTGTCATTATTTATTCCATATTTATTTAAAATCTATTCAATATTTTGGTGAATCTAAGATTTGAGAACTAAGCTTTCTTACAAAATGCGAATAATGGTGTTTCTTTATTTTTCAGGGGTGCTTGAGCCCTCCCACCCCCCAAAAAAGTAGGCTAAAATCACCACTGTTGCTTGTATTTACGTTGTCATCAAAAAACGTTCTTATTTTGCCACATTGCAGAAACAAAAATTCATACAGAAGTTAAAAAAAAAGAAAAGTTTATTTAAAGAATGCATGCACATTACAGCTTTGAATCTTTTTACCAACCTTTTACAAAACATTTGTAGACACAAGCCTTATTTTTGATGCCTGAGCTTTACCAAACAGTTTAGTAAAAAAGAGCTGAAGTCCAAATTAAACTAACCCACAGCCGTCTTAAAATAATTTCCACAAGTTGCTCAAACGTTCTTTGATTCAAAATGTTAAAATAAAAGCTTTTGTAGCCAAAAACAGTGACAACAAAAACTGTTTACTCATCAAAACTCACTGGACGTTACTTAAAAGTTTCCAGTTGCAGCAAGGGCAGCTTTAATGTAAAAAATAAAAAAATAAAACAATTTTACGACTCATGGAATTTTAAAAGATAAGAAAAAATGAAATATGAAGGGTATGAATGCAAAACGGTACCCTGCATACATGCCTCTTTTGATTTGCTCTTCTGTCTCTCGCCGAGAGGCTGAATTGTTTAATTTCTGATGCTCGCTGTCGTGCCGTGATGATGAAATATCAGCAAGGTTACAGAAACGTTTGTGGTCAGACATTTCTGAAACTCCCCGATGTCACTCTGTAAAACCAAGCGTTTCCATGGAACCCAGCAGTTTGCTTAATGCGCTGTGATAGCCCAGAATTATGCGAAGCTTGCCAACACGATAGCTTGAGACAGAAACACAGTTTGGACAGAAACACAGTTTGTGTTTGCTCGCTTGCCTACGGCGCCAAAAGTGAGATAAAAGAGGATTTTTAAATGAGATTGATAACGGCAACAAGAAGTGAGTGACACGGTAAAAAAGGATTAATACCTAAGAAGAAGAAAGGCTGAGACAAGTAGCTGAAACTCATGCAAATCAGTTGTTGAAAGTCTCTTATCAAGTGAAACTACCTCGGAGTGATTACATACTGAAAGAAACATAAAAAGAACTCTGCACGCCCCTGAGTCATTACATTTTCAAAAGCCTGTATAAGTGACTTTGTAAAAATTAACCAGGACTGCCTGTGCTTCGTGTGCCACCTGTTAAAGATGGCGGTGACCTGTTGCTCTGATTTTATCTGAACGCAACAAAGGCCAACAACCTCTGCTGTCCCTGAGAGTCTTTCACCTGCAGAATACAGTTGGATTGCACAAAGTGTTAGCTTAATTGGTCTCCTCTGAGTGAAAACAAGCCAGCCATGGTTTAGTTAATATATATATATATATATATATATATATATATATATTTATCTATCTTGTGACGTTTATCGCTATCCAAACAGCAAGCCTCTGTTTATCAGCCTGCCGTGCTGCCTTCACCACATGCTGCTCTGGGAGGGACGGCTCTGAATGCAAGTCACCTCTGTTCCCTGCGTCGCACGATTAAGAGACTCGAGAAAGGAAAAAAAAAAAACCCACATTCGACATGGATAACTAAACGTGATTTAACAGCTTACAATCAAACGGGCCTGCAGAAAGCATATGTGACAGTCGGAGTGCAGAAAGGCCAGCCGTCACCGAGGAAACCGTGTTCGGCGAACGTGGGAGATAAACTGGGGCGGTTTCTCTCTAATAATAATTTCTATTAACGGCGCTGAATGTTTAGATTATCATGTAAATAAGGGGCTGTACCAGACAGCGGCAGATTGGAGCTGAAGGCTGGTGCACGGAGGAGTTCAAACAAAGCAGAGCAATGGTGACTTGCAGAGGTAAGGCACAATTACCTCCAGTTTCTTTCAAACCTGTTGATAAAAGGAAGTTTGTGGAGGTGTAATTTTTTTTATTTCAAACTAGTAATTTACCATTTCAGACAATGGGGAAGTTTTCAGGTTGCTTCATTTGGTGTACTTTGTTGATTTTGTCACATTCTCTTGCAAGGAAGAAAAAAATCTCACTTCCTCTTACTTTCTGATTGGACTATAAGAAACAAGCTTCAGTCATGAGCTGTACCTTACTTGAAGCAGCCCTGTACATGAGAGGTAAGAAAATGTAGCTTTCTTAAAATACACTGCACTCCTTAAAATAATTTTGGATAACTATTTCCATTACTTTTACCTTGAGTTTGTGTTTCGTCCACAAGAAAAAAACAGAATGTTGACAATAAAGGTGCTGCGAGGACAGCAATGTGTTTGTGCTCTGATACACTAATTTCTCTTGTGTAGTTAAATTATTATAGGTTTATGAGGGGCATCATTTTCACAGCATGTCCACTATTGGAACATAAAGTAATAAAATGGTCTGGAAGCTAATTATAAAAACACTGTTGCTGTATATTTACAGCATGGGACACACATTTGGTTTGTATACAAACCCATAAGACTATTATGAGATACACTTGTTTCAATATATTCTGAGGTTCAAATAAGGACAAAAATTAAGAAGAATAAGGAGCAGGAATTACTGTTTGTTTCTGAAAGCCTTTTTATTGTTAGCTGAATTTTAATAGCAGAGCAAGATAGCAGTGCATATTTTAATCCAAGTGTCAAATGAGATCTAGTTTGAAACACTCTGGTGTCAGTGTGGTAATCTTTCCATTCTCTCTTATCAGCAGAGCTCAGAGCCCTTGAGGAAACGACGAGTGCTGGGTTACTGGTGGAAACAGGGAAACCACGTTGCCTTTTCGCTTTTTCTTCCAGGCCACTGACCCAATAAGTAGCCTTTGTGCTTCGGACTGCCTGACAGATCAAACCTCCCCGTGCGGCGTCTATTCATCTCCAGAGTCAGAGTCGAGGACATAATGTGACACGACTCAATCCCTGACGGTTCAAAGAGATTAACACAGAAGACAACATGCAGGAGTGCCACACCGGCCTGTGCCTTTCCGTCTACATCGTTACCTTTGTGCTGGGCTTTCCGGCAAATGTCCTGGCCTTCTACACCTTTCTGAAGAAAGTGAGGCGTAAAACCACCCCGATTGACATCCTTCTCCTCAACCTGACCATCTCCGATCTCCTCTTCCTTCTGTTTTTGCCCTTCAAGATGCATGAGGCCATGAACGATATGAAGTGGGGGCTGCCCTATGTCTTCTGCCCGATATCTGGGTTCATCTTCTATTTGACCATCTACAACAGCACCTTCTTCCTCACCGCCATCAGCGTCGAGCGCTACCTGGGCGTAGCTTTCCCCATCAAGCACACCCTAAAGCGCAAACCAATGTATGCCGTTGCTGCCAGCATCTTTTGTTGGATCTTCTGCTTCCTTCACCTTAGCATTGTGTTTATTGTGCCTTTTATTGGACAAGAAATCCACTCAAATGCCACCTCTGCCATTAATGAAATCAAGAGCGAGGTGTGTTATGAAAACTTTACCAAAGTGCAGCTGGAGGTCCTGCTCCCTGTGCGTCTGGAGCTCTGTGTGGTGCTTTTCTGCATCCCGTTCCTCATCTCCAGTTTCTGCTACATCAACTTCATCAGGATTCTGTCAAGGCTGCAAAACATTGACCGGCGCCGCCGCCTCCGGGCCATTGGCATGGCTCTGGGAACACTGTTAGTTTTTGCTTTGTGCTTCGGCCCCTACAACGTCTCACACATTGTGGGTTTCATTATGAAGAAAAGTCCTGCATGGAGGGACATAGCCCTGCTGTGCAGCACCTTCAACACGTGCCTGGACCCCTTTATTTTCTACTTCTCCTCGTCTGCCATGAGAGGAACCGTCAGTGACGTGGCAGAAAGGGTTAAAAGTAGCCTCGGCAGGTGCCTAACCTGTCACACGTTCCAGGCCTTGTGGGGGGGAATTAGTGAGACTGAAAATGATAAGGAGCACAAACAACAGGAGATCAATGCTATCAGAACTGACAGGAAGGAAACGGGGAGCAGCAGTCTCTAGTTTTTTTTCATCTCTGCAAGCAGGAAATTAACTTCATGTTTATGTTTTTACACGCATGAAAACGAGTTGGCTGTAAACACGGCGGCACACTTTGTTTGACTCTCTGATGAACTTCTGATTTGAAGCAACCTTCTGTTTGCCCGAGAAAGCGGCATCAATTTTCCAATGCAGCGTACTGTGCAAAGCTGCAGAGACAGGCTGCCTTGAACTGTCACATAAAATAAAAGCAGCATTTCTTGCATTAAATAGCTGGGTTTCATAATAACTCCCATAATGCAGCAGGGTGTTGTGAAGACATAACAAGACTGCAAGGAAACATCTAGGCCGTCATTTCCGCACAAAAAGCTATGAAGCTTTCTTTTCCTGCTTTAATCATGAACACGATATGATGTCTGTTTGCAGCAACATGCTCATTATGTATCGAGCTGTCGTGACAAAAGGGAAAAAGGTTCTATGGTGTTGAAAAAACGACTTTATCAAACCTTTAGGTACTAAATTTCTGTTATGCAACATGTTTTAAACCCAATCACAACCATCTGTATTTTGTAATTTGTCTTGAAGGTTGTTTTTTTGTAACGTCTTGTAAAATAGAAAGAAACAATATTTTCATACACAAATCCTATAAAAAAGAGCTTTTACATAATTTATGACTCGGAGTGTTTTGTAAAGAAACCCGTTTTGATAAGACTTGTGCACGCCGTGTGAGTCCACACATCAAAAGAGGAAGATAAAGTTTCCAACGCAAACCCAATTTTCATAAATAAATCTAATAACCGTATAACGAAATGATTATTAACCATGCCTGGAACAGAACTGAACAAGAAGTCATTGTTTGTTTTGCACAGAGATAAAGACTAATTCATTTCTGAATGGTTAGTTCCCACCTCGTCGTTCAGATGCCGTCATCAGATCCGGCATTTTCTTTAGGATGCATACAATTTAAAAAAGGTAAAAAAAAAAGGATTATATGTGAGCAATCCGAACTTTATTCAGTAAAAAAAAAAAAAAAAGACAGCCAGCATTGGCTGTTGCTAATCTGGTTATACTATGGAGTCATTTGTTTGCCTTAAGAGTCATCTTTATGATTTCTGGCAGTTTTTGTGGTCACGGCTAAATTTATCATAAACTTCCTCCCAACACCTTCATGATGCAAAACACGAACAGTTCTGCACAAGGAAGCACTGGCATCTCCTGTAATCCTGTTTTATACAAATAACAGAGGTTAAGCAAATCACTGAATCTGTTTTTTTTTCTTTGACAAATGAATAAAAAATGTAGGAGACATATTTTTTTGTGGGGGTGGGTGCACATAAACATCAGTGAATGACTAACATGAACGGGCGACCAGCCACAGATGCAAAGAGCAAATTAACAAGAGTTGCCATCGTTGTGCAGTAAATGGGGGAAAAAAAAAAGTTAAATGATCAGTTTTGATGTGCGGAAAGAAACGAGTCAGGATTTAGGGGACAGGAAGCAACAAAATACAAATTATGCACACATGCATCAATGAGCAGTAAGCTAACATCACATTTAAAAGAGGGGCGTCTTTGGAAATGGTTTGTGTAGTTCAGAGTCCATTTCTCTGTGATGTCTCTGGTCTTGAATTTGTGTGAAACTGTTTGTCAAAGGTTGGTCTGCTGAGACTCGGAACACCAGCAGTCCACTTTCTCTCATTTCATTTCGTGTTTCCTGAAAGACAGTAATTGGTTGTTGCGTCAGTGTTGACTTTTTCCCCAACAGTGTGTGTGTGTGATAGGTTACAGTGATAAGACAATGAGAAAATAAGCAGCCCAGTGGGCGTGCATGTGCGCGTACAGGTCCATGTTTGCCGAAGGCAGGGAGAAAAGTTGTTCTCGCATGGCAGGCGTCATTTTCGCTGCACCCGGGCATGTTTGACTGCTGTGGAAAACAAGATTGCACAAATGAAACACGTTTTTTTTTTTATAGGTTCCTGTAATTCGTGCTAAGTAGGTCTCACCTTCCAGTAAAAACACAACAGTTGCTGCAGAGAGGAAACACAACTTTACGATGTTCAAGTAGGTGATACATTTGCTCGGAGAGGCATCTGGAAAGAAGGACAAAGGAAATTATTGAGAGTGATGCTGAAAAATCTGAGAATAATCACCTTTGGTGGATAAACTTGTTTCCCCACCTTCATGAGTGTTGAAAGACTGAACAAAAACAACAACATAAATTTGCTCAGCTGTGCCTTGTTGCAGGTGGTCTAAGACCTTGGGATGATCAGTGTGTGAACAGCAACAACAGTAAAGCAGAATAGACACAACAAGCCGCTTGTATTTAAGAGACCATGACACCGAGGAACCACGCGTCATTTGGAATATCTGTCTTTAGACAAACAGAGAATAAACATAAATTCACACATCTGGTAAAAATTCAGTTGACTGAGTGCTAAAACTCTTCAGGGACGAATGAACTTGGACATCTTTTAGTTTATTTATTGGTTTTGATTAAAGCGACTCAAGTGGAATAGCAAATGTTTGGTTGATTAAAATGTGATCGTAAATAAAGTGCTTTCCCTCGGCCCCCTCTGTGTGTGTGTGTGTTTGTATTTGTATTTGCTACCTTTTTTTTTTTTTTTTTTAAAGTCAATTTTTCCAACACATACTACATTGTGAGGACCAAATGTTCCTTATGGGGTCCAAAGCCCGGGCTGCACAAGAAGAAATGCCATTGGTGGGATAGGTTTAGGACTAAGGTATGAATTGACAATGGGTTAGGTTTAGGGTTGGGTATGTACTGGTAATTGTTAGGATTAGGGTAAAGGTCAGGGTTAGGCTATAGAAATGAATGAAAATTGAATGGAAGTCAATGCTCGTTGTCACCGATTCTGTTCATGACTTTTATGGACAGAATTTCTCGGTGCAGCCAGCTGGTGGACGGTTTCCGGTTCGGTGGTCTCAGGATTCCATCTCTGCTCTTTGCAGATGATGTGGTCCTGTTGGCGTCATCGTGCCGTGATCTTCAGCTCTCACTGGAGCGGTTTGCAGCCGAGTGCGAAGCGGTTGGGATGAGAATCGGCACCTCCAAATCTGAGGCCATGGTCCTCAATAGAAAAAGTGTGGATTGCTATCTTCAGGTTGAGGGTGAGGTTCTGCCTCAAGTTGAAGAGTTCAAGTATCTCGAGGTTTTGTTCACGAGTGAGGGAAGAATGGGAGCTTGAGACTGGCAGATGGATTGGTTCAGCATCTGCAGTATTCCAGACTCCGTGTTGGTCCGTTTTGGTGAAGAGGGAGCTGAGCTGTAAGGCAAAGCTCTCTGTTCACCTGTCTCCGGTCCTACTCTCATTTATGGTCACAAACTCTGGATAGTGACCGAAAGAATGAGATCGTGGATACAGGAGGTTGAAATGAGTTTCCTCTGGAGGGTAGCTGGACTCTCCTTTAGAGATACGGTGAGAAGTTCAGTCATCCGGGAGAGAATCGGAGCAGAACTGCTGCTCCTCCACATCAAGAGGAGCCAGTTGAGGTGGTTTGGGTATGTGGTAAGGAAGCTTCCTGGGCTCCTCCCTAAGGAGGTGGTTCAGGCATGTCCAACTGGGAGGAGACCCCAGGGAAGACCCAGGACATGCTGGAGAGACTGTCTCTTGGTTGGCCTAGGAACGTCTTGGGGTCCCCCCAGAAGAGCTAGAAGAGGTGGCTGTGGAGAGAGATGTCTGGGCCTCCCTGCTCAAGCTGCTGCCCCCGAGACCTGACTTTGAAACAAGCAGAAGATGATGGATGGAAGTCCCTGTAAAGATAGAAAGGCAAACATGTGTGTGTGTGTTCCAGGTTTCCAAATAATTAGAGCTGATAAGAACTGGAGGCAGCTGGCCTGTGTCTTCATTATAAACTTTAAAAGATCATCTTCTGGCTGGAAGTTTCTTAGTTCTTCATCTCTCCATGGTAGGTTCCGGTTTAATTTCACAAGTGTCAGATTGTTTCACATGGCAGTGGCTGATAATCCTTCAGAACACAGACTGTACTCTGAGCATGACATCTTGCAATATTGTACGAGTTCGCACATAAATGTTTCTTTAAACGTTTGACCAAACGATTACAGTGCCATTATTTCTTAATAAAGGACAATTTTTGTTTAAAGCTCTGGCAAAGATGGAGTGATATGCATTTAAAGTCCCATCATCATTTAAGTGTTATGACGTGTTGGCATCTTTTATCCAGTAGCTTTATTTATTTAAAACAACAAAATATCATTTTGTTGACTTCATTAGACAACCCCCTCCACCTAAATAAATAAATAAATACATTCATTATGTAAAATAAATGTAACTTTTAAAGTTTTTCACTTTCAAGTTCTGGTTTGCTCTGCAAAGTCAACTACAAATTTCTGCTAAGCAGCAAAAAATGTGATACTTCTGCTTCCATTGTTCATCAAGATCCATTTTAGCATTTTATGACTATTTTAAAGACTTGCTCACAGTTAAAATGAGTGCTTTAGCAGTGGTTTGTGCACTTCATTTATAACTGATTCATAGCCTTTCCATCAAACTGCAGTTAAAACATTTAAAACAATCTGTCGCACTAAAGTTGGATAATAAACATAATTTGTCAGAGTAACACACAACAATTTTTGATCCTGATCACTGGTTCAAAGCCAGGTTCTAAATGTAAATTTGACACGTGAAAAATTATTTAACTGAATACAAATTTGTGCTGTTTATATAAGAGATTCATTAGTATTTACCCCAAGTGAAGGAGGAACTCAGAGGACTGTTCAGAGCCGGGTGGTCCTTCACCCAGCATGTGAACGTTATCCCAGCGTTCATGAAGGTTTTCTTGGGAAGGATAATCTCACTGAGCAGATACACATCCAGGCCGTGGCCGTCTAGCATCAGGAGACACCATGGCTGGTGTGCAGCAGCAGACTTCACAAACCGAGCTGAAGACAGCCGGGCTCCGTCAGCTGAGGGCTCCGGCAGGCTGCCATGAGAGCTGTTGGCAGGGAAGGTGCAACTGGCATCTGGCAGGTGATCGATATCGGCT